ACCGAGCGATTTCGCACGCCTGCCTTTGATTCACTGAGCCTTGCTAGTAGCGTGATTTTTGAGAGCAAACAGCCGACAGGTAACGAATGTGTGGAGTTACAAATGGTAAAGAGCAAAAGCAGAAAATATATCGGAACCAACGGGATTAATTCCTTCGGGAGATGACACGTGGAGAAGAAGAGGTTCTTCATCTTACAAATATCTGACGCCATGTAATTCTTCAGATCTTGTAAACATCTCTACCGCTACGTCTACTTCCATTTTCCCTGAGCTTTCCTCGTGATTGATTGAACACTTATCTTTATGTGATTCCATCCACGTTTTGAAGTTTTCTGTGTCCATTTTACTTTTCCAATATTCACACGCCTTATATAATATAACGACTTGACGATTTAGCACTTTTCCAGAATAATATCCAATCAGCGTAACAGCTCCTTGATAAGATGAAAAACCTCTTTTTCTCCACGTGCCATCTCCCGAAAGAATTAATTTCCCGTTCCGGTGGTTCCGATATATTCTGCTTCTGCTGTTAAGAGTTTTTCTTCGGCGCCCGCTTCAAAAAATAATACAGAAGCAACACTTTTTGACGCGCAATGGATATTTTTAAGAATATCATAATAAACTTTTTCATTAAAAACTTTTGAAATGTCCACAATGCCACAAAACTTTTTTATGCCGTCACATCCGATATCAAGGAGTCTCATTGCGAAAACTAGTCGTCGTCGATTAATTTCGCGTGATTTATAAGAGGACAAGAATTTATATATTGCGGTTCACACTTGTCACATTTAATCATTAATTTAAAACCAAGTCCTCGAATGCCACTTTCAGCGAAAGTTACATTTCCATTGCATGTCTTACATTCTAGAATTGTGCTCAATGTCGAAAATACCGTCAAAAAATTTATTATACGATATCCATGTTCAGCGATTATCGACAGCTCGTCAGTATCGGACTTTTGCAGTTTTTTCGCGGATGCGCTGGTAGAAGCTGTTTCGCACTCCATTTCATGTGGGTTATGTAGTCTGGGTTTCTTCTTTGGTCAACTTGCACGACCTAATATAATTCGTGATCCTTTTTTGTCTATTCTTTTTGCGCTTTCCATTACGATATTCGAAAATACAGAACACTTGAACTTGAAACTGTTCTTGAAAACGATGTGTGCTGCGATACGGACAACAGCACATTGACTATATTGGATATTTTAACCTGAAAATACGTTACGAAGGAGTGAGGAACATCATCACCATCTATTCTCAAGCCGGTAGAACTCGTCCGATTTGTTAAGGCCCTTCCGGCCGCGGCAGATATCTCGACGCGCAAGTATACGAATTCACATTAGACTCCGTAACTCGGAAACTAATCCGTATTTCCATTTCAAACGTTTACTGTTTATTCTCAAGACCTCAAATTATTTAAAAAAAGAAGATTTTCTATTTTTTGAAAATTTCAAAGTGAGGTAACCCCTTAATAGAAGTCACATATACAGGGTGCTAAATTTCAAACGTAACAGATAAAAAATCTCGAAAACTATGAAAGATATTAAAAAAAGCTAAAACACGTGTTCCATGATTTCGAAGGGGAAAGACAATGGCATTATCAGTTTTTTATTTGGAGGGCATTTTCAAGGTCAGTTGAAAGTCAACTTAATTTTTTAAAATAGAAAGCCTAATTTTTTGTTATATCTTCCTTTTCTACCAATTAATTTTAACAACTTTTGTCTGAAACATTTTTTTATTTGCCCAATATTTTTTGAAGTATTTAAGGGAAACTTGGTAACTTTTTCAACATTTAACTTACGATTTCTCGCTAACTATTCGCCGAAAGAAAAAATAGTATTAGACTACTTTATTTACTATCAAGAATATATTACTATGATAGTGCCCTAACTTTTGTTAATGTAATAATTTTGAAATTTCCAAAGATCGATAAGTTAAGTGTTTTAGCTTTTTTTAATATCTTTCATAGTTTTCGAGATTTTTTACCTGTTACGTTTGAAATTTAGCACCCTATATAAAACGAAAGTTTAAAACGAAGTTTTGAACAATGCAGATGTTATATATATATATAAAACGATGTTTACATTATTATCACATACAATGATAACCTTATCGCTCAACGCTCAAAATCAGTGCAATATCTAAAGCAATATCTAACGGTGAGTTGTGTCGCTCCTGCTTACGTCGTATACGCAAACTATTTATCTCTATAATTCGGAAGCTAAGCTTCAGATAATATTTCGCAAGAGAAAAAATCGTCTTCGAATTCATTCAAGAGCATGTCATTTCAAGGACAGCAAGTTGTTTCGAATCACCCTGTATATTTGACGGAAAGTATTCGATTCAACGTACCAAACACGTATCAGTGCGCAGTCTTATCCGAGCGTCTCGTCTTAACGATAACGAATACAATAAATATAAAAAATATAATAATCGCGTAATGAAGCATTTTGTAAAGAATGCTTCGCTTGTCAGTAAGCAACGATACATAATTCGAGAAACACGACACGCTTGGCGGATATCACGGTCAGCTAATGAGGAAGCATATGGAAATGTCTGCCACCGATTTTTTCGCGCGTTCAGATATGTTATAGAACGAAGTAAAACACACGTATTTTCTTTCGATATGCGCTTCCCCGCGAATGTAATCCGGTAAAAATGGATTGCAGACACATATTTTTGAAACCGTGAGACATATGAGAAAATATCTCAGGCAGTTTTAATAAACATCCTAATTTTGCGTTGAAATTCGCCAAAATTTAATATAACGTCATGTGACGACTGAGGGTATGTTAAAAAGATACTTTCGAGAAATGTAAGTGCACAGACGTAAAGAACATAAAATGTTACGAGACTCTTTTATGCAAGAAATATTTTTCGCACGTGTCACGGGTTCTCGGTATTAGCTGACAGTCGATTTTACATTTCATTCGCACGTGTAGCAAGATGAATATCTGAATAATAATTACAATTATTATTCAAGACTCGTTATAATCTCGATGAGGAACACTTACATATGTTTCCTCCCAAGTTCAGCCCGGAACGGCCGTTCTAACGTGTATACCGGCTTGCGCGGAACTTAATGAATCGACAGTATAATCGACCTTTGAGATCGACGGTCGTCGGATGCATCTCGACATTAAAGGTCGGCAGGTTACCCGAGCGGAATGGCGGCGAGCCAAACCCGAATGGATCATCTCGTCAATGTGTACACATAGTTGTACATTTCAGCCGGCAGCCACGTTGGCCCACAGGCTCGAACGCTCGCTCGCATTTACCAATCGCGTTTAACACGAAACGCGATCGTCGGAAACACGATCGTCCAGCCGGAATTTCGCCTGTTCGATATAAAGACGAGAGTTCTCTGACGCGAGATGAAAATCCGACCTTGTTCGCCGTTGGCGTTTGATGTCATTCGACGCGTCATCCATCGGTAGTAGCATTTTCGGAAGCGGAAATCACACAATTCGCCGAATTCCTAGTCTGTCCTGCCGGTGTGTGCATGCCTGTGTGTACGTGTATGAAATTCGACGACAATTAATTCGAGCGACGTGCGCCGCGGCGGCACTCACAGACGTCGCGTCCGTCACGTATGTGTTGGAACATTTAATGCATATTCTGCGTGTATTATACAACTGCTTCTCTCTCTCTCTCTCTCTCTCTCTCTCTCTCTCTCTCTCTCTCTCTCTCTCTCTCTTTCTCGTATATTAATTTTAAGTATCGCGCCGCCACGGATTGTGGACCAACCGCGGACTCGATGTAATCCTGCGATGTAATCAGTGCGCGCGAGAATCAATAATGAATCAAAGCGCGCAGTGGAGAAACGAACGCGCGCGCGCGCGAGCGAGCGAGCCGGCTTCTATTTTTGATAAAGCCCGGCCCGACGTCCTCGTTTACGAGAGGAGCGTAAATTGTTGTTACCGCGGGGACGAGGCATATGTAACGGTGTCGCGAATCGATATACGATTATTATCCGGCCGCGACGCGCCGAACGAGGACGCGCGCGCCGGCAGGAGACTTTCACCCCGAACGCACCGAACTTTTGCCAACGCGATCTCGTTCATCGACACGCGACCGACGCACGACCGCTTTTTTCTCATACCTGCTGCACCCGTTAATCACGCGGCGAATTCGGCCTCGGCGAGAGCCTCCTCCGGCAGGAGCAGCCGTTCGAACGCGCACGAAACCCAAGCGAGATCCTCGGTCAATCGGAAGAAAAAGATCCAACAAAGACAGACGCGCGCATTCCCCGTTAAGTACAGCGTCGCGCGGGCCTCTGTCGTACTTGGCTAACGATAACGCGAACAGAGAGATCTTTGGGTGTGCATGAAGTGTGCTTCGGAACGGAGGCGAGTCTCTGTGCGCGACGAGACTCATATCCACCGAGGGAGACGGAACTATGTACAAATAATCACCGTGTAACACTCCTGTTAACGTAACTAGCAATGCGAGCATTTCCGCGACGGGTCACGCGGTCGCTATCTCCGCGTCACGGCGTATGACACGGCGTATCTAAATGTGCGACATGTATAATGGTTCGCGTGTACGCCAGGCGGAAGGATCTGTTCCTGCGTTGATGTAACGATCCTGTATCTCGTAGGGGACTCGGCCGCGCGTCCGCACGACGCGCGAACGCTCGGAACGTTCGGGGAAGCTTCTCTTCTAGTAGCGGCTAAATTTCCCCTCGAGAAACGTACGTCGCCAACGCCGTAGGGGTGACCGTTTGACTCTGATAGAACGTGAGAGATACATATGATAATACATAACATGAGTTGATTGATAACTTCAGTTTGTTCACTCTCTCTCTCTCTCTCTCTCTCTCTCTCTCTCTCTCTCTCTCTCTCTCTCTCTCTCTCTCTGTCTCTGTCTCTGTCTCTGTCTCTGTCTCTGTCTCTGTCTCTGTCTCTGTCTCTGTCTCTGTCTCTCTCTCTGTCTCTCTCTCTGTCTCTGTCTCTCTCTGTCTCTCTCTCTGTCTCTGTCTCTCTCTCTCTCTCTCTGTCTCTCTCTCTGTCTCTCTCTCTCTCTCTCTCTCTCTCTCTCTCTTTCGAGAGCGCGGTGTACCCCTGAGTCCACAAACCTCTACATTATTACTGCGATAAAAAAATGTCCGAACTTTATTTTTTTAAAATCGCGGGTGAACTGTAAATCAAATCCGTTTGCTTTCTTAATTTGGTACACATGTCCTTCACATTTGGTGAAAAAAATCATGGCGTTCCTTCAAGCCGTTTGAAAGTGGCAGTTGTTTATGTCAGTGAAGATCGTTGTGCACGGCGATTTTTACGATGTTGAAAAATATGGAGCAAAGAATTTGTTTGAAATTTTGTGTCGCGCGAACGAAATTTCGCTCACAAACGCATTCAAAATGTTGCAAAAAGCTTATGGCGATGGTTGTTTATCGAAAACAAGTACGTTTGAGTGGTTTAAGAAGCTTCGAGAAGAACGAGAATCCGTTGAAGACGACTCACGCTCTGGAAGACCATCAACGTCAACGGATGACGCTCACATTGAGAAAGTGAAAGAATTGGTGCTCCAAAATTGTCGATTGACTGTGCGAGAGATATGCAGATGAAGTTGGAATATCATTTGGATCATGCTTGGAGCACACAATCCGTAAGAAACGACCGGAATTGTGGGAAAACAACTCGTGGACTTTGCATCACGACAACGCACCATCGCATACCTCGACACTTGTGCGTGAATTTCTGACAAAATACTTAACGAATGTCGCTCCGCAAGTACCGTATTCACCAGACATGGCCCCCTGCGACATTTTCCTGTTCCCTCTACTGAAAAAACCACTTCGCGGACAACGATTGTTTCGAAACGAGGACGTGAAAGAAAAATCGCTGCGTGAATTGAAAGCCATGTCGCCGCGTATGAGCGATGTTTCTAGGACTGGATCAAACGCTGACATATGTGAGTTGCAAGCAATGGGGACTACTTTGAAGGAGACTATAAGAACTTTGATGATTGAATTGTAATTTTAATTTTTAAAAATAAAGTTCGGATACTTTTTAACCACAGTAGTATGCACTAGATCAGTGATTTTCAACCGGTGCGCCGCGGCACACTGGCGTGCCGCGAAATTATTTTCAAAAATCATTAGTTACATTATTTTCGAAAACAAGTTCAAAGCACAGTAAATATATACATTCAAAGTTGAAGCCTCTTTAAATTGATTATACGAATGCATAAGTCGCGACATGTCCATAGGTTTGAGTATGCCGTGAGAGAAAGAAGGTTGAAGAACACTGCACTAGACCGATAACTGATCTCTTTGACGCGTCCCCTAAAAGTATGTATTAAAATTTCGCGCATGCGTATTGCAAGCTCCCGAAAAGAACATAATTGCACCGTACAGGCATTTTTATTCCAAAAAATGTTAATATTCACCCAGTATTTAATATTTCCTCTCGCAATGTCACATTCAATGACACACATTCAATGTTCATTCAATATACAGAGTACTAACTTGGGATCTTGCAATGCGCATGTGCGTATGATTTTATGTTTTACATAAGGGTCACTTTTATACATGAAAACCAATGAAAGTTCTCAGTCTAGCTTATATATAGAAGTCTGTGCCTAAATCAGATTTCTCTCTTGCTGAATAGTTCAAATGCTTTACCGATGTCTTCGATGGGACTCGAGGGGGGTGGGGAAGGAGGAGGGGGGAAGAGGGAGCATCGGTGTCCTATGTTCTGAGAGGAACGTTTCGCGACTCTCCCGTTCCACCGTTCCTCTCGCAAATAAATACACGAACGAGAGTTTACTGCCGCCCTTAAGCCCGTACCCCTCCTCCCCTCCCCTTACGCTATCCCTTGGCTAAGCGTGGCCTCTTACACGCTAATTGACTAGTATCGCAGGCTCGACGTCGGCGTCGAGCCCACGTGATTCTTATCTCGCTCTACGAATTTATGCGAACCCTTACGCGACTCTTCGCGATCTCGCGCGGAGCCTCAAAAGTGCGAGTGGACTCGCGGCAACGTTCGTCCGTATCGACGCGCGAGGATCGTCGCCAGCACCATCTTCGTCAGCCGGGACCGACGTCCGGACGGTCGTCCGGATTAGAGTCTCCTGCTCGACTCTTCCTGCCGGACGGCCGCCTGGTCTCTCATGATGGCCTCCACGTCCTTCTCCAGTATCTGCTCCCGGTCGCTCAGCTGGAACTGGTACGCCGGCTCGTTCACCAGCACGCTCTCCTCGGCGGTGCTGCGCGCGTCTTCCGGCGCTAGGAAGAATCTCGCTCGACCGTCGCACTTCCGCCGGTAGTCCGGGTTATCCGGCGCGGAGCGATGGCAAGAATCACAGACGGTGTCTGAGCGGGTCGTGCAAGGATGCGCCTCGTAGAGGCCTGGCCCACACCTGGCGCAGTTCCAGCAGGGCTGCGTGCTGTGATGCGGGCTGTAAGTGCCGGCGGGACATCTTCTGCACTGGGTGTCGCGGCCGCGGGCGCACCGGCTAATCACGCCCCAACCTGGACCGCATCTGCTGCAGTGCGAGCCGTCCCGATGGTGCCTGATGTGAGGCCTGCTCTCAGCCGTCTGGAATCAATGGCGGACAACGGCAGATGGTTAGTGCTCGCCTGAGATATCGGTATAGCAGATCGACGTCGTCGTAAAAAAAGCCTCGTCGGCTTCGAGCCGCGGATCTTAATCCGCGCCTTAAAGTCGCGCCTTGGGCGCGACGGAGAAAGTGTTGCGGTAAAGATTACAACAAAATTATTTCCTGCGATCTCGGATCGTGCGGAAATATGAACGGAATTGTGCCGTTGTATTTATTTAAAATGTTCTACTCTCTACTTAAAACGTTTTTATTACATAATGTGTTTTTATTATGATGATTGCTCGAGCTATTTTGCTTCCTTGTAATTCACTACTTGTAACATTATTATAATGATTTGCTTCGATAATTTTTACCACGATGTTTTTACCACGATGTTTTTACCACGATGTTTTTTCCGTGTGAACGATGTCTCTGATGAATGCAATTTTGCATTTTAAATTTCCTGGCACGAGGGTAGTCCCAGAGGTACCTGACCTAACAAAGAAAACACAAAAAATTTGGGAAAAAATATCTTTATTTCTCTACATAGTCTCCTTTTAGCTCAATACACTTTTTCCAGCGATGTTCAATAGCTTCGATATGTTTATAGTGTTTATAGTGAGAATCGTCAAGCTCCTCAAAATAGTCATCAAGCCACCTTGGTCCATTGTTTTGACTGTTCCTTCGTCTCAGGTGTGAAGTGATGGACCCATGTTTCATCCATGCTTATGAATCGGCTTTATTGCTGCGAAACTTCGCCAAACACTCGATTGAAACATCCTTACGACGCTGTTTTTGTTCCAATCGCGGCACCCATCTTGCGCGCACAGCTTTCTCATGTCCAAATGTTCAGTCAATATGCGATGTACAGCACTTTTTGAAATGCCTACCATGTCTGCTAACTCGCGCACTTTTAGTCGACGGTCATCCAATATCATTTTGTGGATTTTCTTCACCATTTCTGGCGTGGTCACCTCATTTGGTCGACCACTGCGATGTTCGTCTTCGCAGCTTGTACGGCCTCGTTGAAACTCTTCCACCCAATATTTTACTGTTGTAAACGAAGGAGCAGACTCCCCCAGAGTAGAATCTAGCTCCGCTTTCATATTGGTTGGACTGAGGCCTTTCAAATGAAAGTATTGTATCACATAACGATGACCAGTTTTTTCCATGTTTACAAATTCACTGAGAGCGTTCACTATTGATGGCTGCCAAACAAATACTAAACAACGTAGCGTCGTCAAACTTCAAGCTTAAGCTTTATAAGGTTGGTACTTTCTACTATAGTCATTCTTTTCAAACAATAACCGCTATCTATACGTCAGGTCAGGTGCTTTTGGGACTACCCTCGTATAGCGGACTGAAACTTGTGGTTTATTGCTTGCATAATAATTTGCGTATTTCATCAATCATTTTAACGTAATTATGATTTTCAATTTATCACAATATTTTATTCACGTGAATGAGATATCTGACGAAATGCAGTTTTGAATTTTAAATTTCGCGTTATTTACAGTGGAACTAAATTAAAAAAAAGAAGACATGAATTATATTATAAATTATCGTAATTAATATTTAACAGCGTGTAACCGCTACGATTTCTTACGTTGTCAGGTTGATTTAATAATTCATTAGATGTAATACTTCATTGGATGTGCTTCCTTATGGTTTATTGCTTGCATAATAATTTGCGTACTTCATCAATCATTTTAACGTAATTATGATTTTTCAATTTATCACAATATTTTATTCACGTGAATGAGATATCTGACGAAATGCAGTTTTGAATTTTAAATTTCGCGTTATTTACAGTGGAACTAAATTAAAAAAAGAAGACATGAATTATATTATTAATTATCGCGATTATCATTTAATAGCGCGTAACCGCTATAGTTACTGTTGTCAGATTGATTAATACTTTATTAGATAGTCTTGTTAATCATCTTCGTGTTGCGGCTTGGTGCGGCTCGATGCGGGCATGCGATTCCACGCGAGGACATGAAAGCTGATTCCACACACAATTGATCTGAATGTATGTTAGCAGTGACGAGCGAACCGTGGCGAGAAGCTACGAATCGCGTATGCGTTATTCGCCTCCCACCCTTCTAACTTGAACTGATGAAATGCAAGTTCAACCGTCGGACAACAGGTGCACAGGGGAAGGCGGCCACCTGACTTTGAGAACACCTTGCGCCATTCTTCCGCCTACTTTGGCTAGATCGAGACGCGATACGCAGGCCTCCTGTGCTCTCTCACGCATAAAATACTGCCCTTAATACGTTAAAATAACCGCTGTACTCTCGCCGATCGGCTCCTCTCGAGTTTCCTCCGAAGTTAATCAAACTAATCGATGCGTCGATCGATCGAAACTCGATCTCATTCTTTAAACTTGTTCTCGAGTAACATCGTCGAAATGCGCTTTCATCGATATCAAACGACCACCGCACGATCACGTTTTCCATCTCGAATATTCGTGTCGAGAGATTGTCGATCTTTTTTTCCAGTTTGACGTAGTTACCAAGTGAGCACGCGATCGAGTGTCCGTAATTTTGAACTCAAGGTTCTTCCTGCTCAACACATTCTGACTCTACAGAGACGAGAATAACAACGAGCAAGAACGATGACAAACATAACAATCGCAGTCTGCGCATTATTAACAGCGCGCAACCGGTTTCCTCCGCCGCTTGGCGCTCCGTTCCTTCTTCCTTCGTGTCGTAACATTTGTAGCATATCTGTCTATTTCGAGAGTTAACAGTTCCACAAAGAGAAAAGTAACAAGAAATGCGCTTTCGTCGATATCAAACGACCACCGCACGATCACATTTTCCATCTCGAATATTCGTGTCGAGAGATTGTCGATCTTTTTTTCCAGTTTGACGTAGTTACAGTGAGCGCGTGATCGAGTGTCCGTAATTTTGAACTCAAGGTTCTTCCTGCTCAACACACTCTGACTCTACAGAGACGAGAATGACAACGAGCAAGAACGATGACAAACGTAATAATCGCAGTCTGCGCATTATTAACAGCGCGCAACCGGTTTCCTCCGCCGCTTGGCGCTTCGTTCCTTCTTCCTTCGTGTCGTAACACTTGTACGAGCATATCTGTTATACGTAGTATCGTATTGTTCACACCGAATTTGTATTAGGCGATCCTATAAATCCCCGAGTAACAAGTTTCACAAAATTATATTCATTAGAAAAAAACGTACAATAGAGAGTTAATTCAGTATCGTAGTATCAGATCGTATATCGTATATACGTAGCATATCTGTCTATTTCGAGAGTTAACAGTTCCACAAATGGAAAAAAAAGTAAGAAGAAAAATTCTTCGTGTATCGGCGGCCGCGCAATGTTCGTCGTAAGGCGTCGGATGATCAGGCGAAAGGCAAGAACAGGCAACAGGCGATCCCTCTCAAGGCAGCAGCTGTTGGCAGATGTTTCGTGCGGCACGCGCCAACAGTCACCGCGCATCACGCGAATCGTTAGCACCGGGCCTTAATTCGAAACCCTTCACCTCACTCATTCTTCTCCTTTCCCCGCACACACCGTGGTCATTACGTCGCCTCTGCTGACCGACTCTGGCAGCCGCGGAGGGGCACCTTTTTAATATCGCGCTGAGTCGCATGTGTCCTCCGACATGTGTCTACCCTGCGATTTGCGGCGATCGTTTCGCGATCGCGCGGACGACGCGACAATTGCTGGGAAATGCAATGCTACCGTAATGGCCCACACAAGTCAAGTCTGCAACCGTGACCGTGAATTCGTTTTACCCCCTTTATATCCTGAATTAACTCTCTGTTGCACGTTTTTTTCTAATGAATATAATTTTGTGAAACTTGTTACTCGGGGATTTTTAGGATCGCCTAATACAAATTCGGTGTGAGCAATACGAACTTCAAAATGGCGGATCCAATGTGGCGGACGAAATTTTCAAAATCAGCGGAGTTGGCGGGAAATTTGTTATTTTAAAGGGTTCCCGAGGTTGCTAATTACAAATTCGTTATCGGAGATTCGAAATGCCAGAGCTATGACGGATATATACGGCAAGGTTCGATTGACATCGGTCAGGGTGCCCAGTTTTCTAACGCAGTCACCTTGTTTTATTTCTATAATTATGTTCGCTATATGAGATCTGTCATTTTGAATTTTGTATTTTTCACACCGGATTCATATTCAGTTTTTTCACAAACCCCCCGAGTAACAAGTTTCAAGCAAACTCGATTAATTTTGAAAATTCCGTCCGCTATATTGGGTCCGCCATTTTGAATTTTGTATTTTTTACATCGGATTTGTATTCGGCGACCCTAAAAACCTCCAGGTAACGATTTTGAAGTATACGTTATTATTTAAAATTTTATGTAAACGAATTTATTCTTTAAAAACGACAGTTTTGTTCAACATATGCTTATTAATGACAAATGACTTATTTGAAGTGATTCTAAAAGTTGATGTATTAGTTAGAGGAACATTTTGGTAGTTCAACAATATACCAAATATGCCAAATATGTGAAAAATTTAAATGATTGGAAAAACAAGCTTGGACAATAGGTGGCATTGTGGGAGGACCACTATTATGCAGCAAAGGGTAAATTTATCCAAGACCTTATTAAATTTTTGTGTAATTAAATAGCCTTTGGCATGTTATAAACATAAAGAATAGAAAAATAAATTTTATAACAATTTAATGGTTAAATTTTAAGTGGCACTTATAAATACCGACCAGAAATGTAGGGATTTTTGTGTAATTGAATAACTTCTGGCATATTATAAACATAAGGGATAGGAAGATCAATTTTATAACAATTTAATGGTTACATTTTAAGATGGTGCTTATAAGTATAGGAATGTAGAGTAAGGCATAAAAAAGGTTTCAGAACATAAGAGCGTTTATATGTGTAGAGCGGTACTTTTAAGTACCATCAGGATACAAAGGGCTAAGCCTGCGAAACTGACGCGCTCGTCGCGAGTGATTGATACCAGCGAAGTTTCCTCTTCGAGAC